TGTGTTGGTACACACCCTGGGATACCAAGGGTGGAGAACTAGGAATGATGGTATCACTTTGCTTGAATGTCTGTGTTTATGATAGTGATAGAAATGCTGTGTTTATGATGTGTTCCTGGCTACAGAGTTAGATCAAAAGGGGTTGTTAATAGCCACACAGGAAAGGTAAAACAATGGCCTAGATAAGAAACATTCCGGCAAACACCCAAACATAATAGCTCAGTTTATAGCTGTGCAGGGGTGACTTCTCAGACCCCACCTTGGTGACATGGTTGTTTTGCCAGTGCTAAGAACTTAGAGATCAAAAAAGACTGAATCATTAAAAGATCCACCCTACAGCGAGGGAGGGGGGAACTGTTAGCAGCAGCATACAGATGGGGTCAGCAGCAGCAGGCTGCCCCAAGAGAAGGGGCAGGAGAGGAAGTCAGAAGGGAGTGGGACGTTTCAAGGCTGAATTGTGTTTACCTAGGGGAGTTAAGGGGCTGCCAAGTGCAAAGAAGAGATTATGCCGCTCTTGTTTCATATTCCATTTCTCTAAGCTCTGCATCTTCTGGACAAATAAAACAGACTTTGTTTTGAAGCAGCTGCCTCCCAGTCTATGCATAATGTTACTGCCTATAAGCTCCTTAAAGGAAACACTGGCAGGTGCCAGCCTATTAGGCCTTTGTGGTAATCTGGTTGGCAACCAGGAGACCCCATTTGAAGGGTGGTTGGCATGTAGGGTCCCACCCAAAGAGATGCTGAGGTATGGGCAGGTGGGGGACTGGAAAGGGATCTCCAGAGGTGAAGCCTACCTACACACAGTGACACCAGGTTTCTAGTTTAATATATTAAATGATGTGTACTCTTAGAAGATGGGAAAAAGCAATTTGAAGACGTAGTGCCACATTCAGCAAAACAGCTGGGGTCAAGTGCCCGGCCAATCTGTGTACCCTACTGCTACTTCCCTGCTCTGTGTCTCATACTCCTCTTCCGCCCATATATTAAATCAGTTGAGTTAAGGCAGTCACTCCACACACCCACGCTCCAGGCAGCTGGCACATGTAATTGAAAAATCACCCAATGGGTGGACATATGTCTGCATGTTTCTGCTTGACCACATTATCGTTGAATGGGATAAAGTAAAACTCCATCTAATTTTCTTCCCAGAGACATCATTACAGGGATAGGATGATAATATTGGGGCTACGGGCCTCAGGCCAGGCCAGCTGAGTAGGAGCCCTACCTGCTGTACCACTGCATTATCAGGGCTGATGAGGAAACAGATGTTAATATCCCGACACTAGAAGTTACACCCACTGACACATTGGGGTTAGATGACTAACAAGAGGCATGTGATTGGACACCACTAGGTATGAAGCTTCCTGTTCCAGTCGCCTCCTTTTTCCTGTCTCTCTCCTTCTGAGCAGCTGGTTTCCTGCTTCTTGTTCCTGTTACCATATCTCATCCCTGTTCTTGTCCCTAGGCCTTGTTCCTTGCTTTGACCTAGGTTGTTGACTTTACCTTTGACCCTTGGTGTGACCCCAACCCCAATTCTGCTCCTGGCTTCAACCACTGGATCAGGCAGCCCACGTTTTGAGCCCTGACAGATAATTGGAAACTAAAGTGCATGAGATTTATTGGGCAACATAATTCAGTTTGCTAAATCTCTGAAGCTTGTTCTTCCCCCTGACTTTTTCCTTCATTTTCACATGGGGTGCTACTGATGTCAACGATTTTTATGTAAGGTGCTGTTCATCCTAAGTAAAGATTTCACATTCTAGCTAATAGATCCTGCCATCCTAGAAAGCTAATGTGTTCCTAATGGCAATAAAATTTTTGCTTTAAATGTGATTGATAGTAGTAGCGTTGTTTATTGACATTACAAAATGATACGCCTGAAATAAAATCACATGAAGCATGAAAAGGAATGTGAGAGGATGCTCATATCTCCGTGTTGTGTAAAGTGCTGCTTTGGATGCTGTGGAATGTTCATCGTGCATGCATCTTGTTGAAAGCTTTTATCTAGCTATTGCTGTGGAATGTTCATCGTGCATGCATCTTGTTGAAAGCTGGAGGCTATGCATTTATCTAGCTATTGTCTCCTTGAAATAGTACCTAGCAAATAGACTGTGGGGAAGGAAGGAAAGCAAAGCTAGACAAATGGTGTAAGGAATCCAAATTGTTCAAATATGGGAACCTGGCTTTTTTAACGGTGCCTTTACTGAAATTAAAGGAAATTCTGTGTGGTTCAAGGTTGCTGACAATTTCTATGAGGCTCTGAGGGGGATTGCTGCTTTTCCCCCTCGCTGAATCCATCTCAACAACTATTCAAATTACGGTGATAGAATTAATTTCCTGGCCTATTAAACTGCAGTGAAAATGTCTGGAAGCATAGGACATGCAGTATCTTAAAATGCAAGGTGAATTGCAAGCACTTGGACCTTGGTGGTGTGGTGATGTGGAGGTTTTCCTCCTTTTCTTTCCAAACACATTTTATGATATAGGTACAGCTGGATGGCTGCTTAACTTATCTGTGGATGGTATGAGTTTCAGACTCATGTGGAAATTCAACTTTCACAGTCTATGCACAGGGCATTGCATGCAACACTGAATTAATTCTTGGCATTATAATGTGTCTGAGATGCATTTCAATGCCTTTGGATTTAGTCACTGAGGATCAAGGACACATGACTTAAATAGGTCTGAAGCATTCTTCTTATTAATGGGTCTTCGCGGAAAAGTTGAAATCTAGACCCAAACTTCCACAAAGTCTGAAAGGGCTTTGGATATGTGTGTGTGTGTGTGTGTGTGTGTGTGTGTGTGCGCGCACGCACCACAAGCTTTAAATCTGAATTTCCCCAATTTTTTAAGGGGATTTGGGCCCATCTGATAAATACCAACCATATTCCGATGACAAGAGACTCCACCAGGTAATGATTCATTAGCAGCAAGTAACAGACTTCTCAAAGACATTCTGCATCTAAATCAGGTGCTTTCACACAGTTCAAAAGCCGCTAATGTAGACCTCTTCCAGGTCCCTCCACAGCCAAACCTGAATTTCAGTCACTGAGCTACAATGAACAATTGTCTCTGTGGTCCAGAAAAATCCATACCTCTTGGTGTGAAACCAAGAAAGGCAGATGACTGTAATTGGTATATGCAATGTGAATATAGCACATCAGTTGCTTTAGGTCAGTGGGTCTCCAAACTTTTACAGGATGAGATCACCTTTTGAATTTAAGTGCCATCCAGGATCTACCTCAAACCCAAATACCTTTGCCCCACCTCCTTTGTGCCCCTCCTCCAAGTCCCCACCCCTGCTCACTCCATCCCTTCCTCCTTTTCATCAGGCAGGGGCAGAGGGTTGGAGAGCAGGCTTTGGTCTTGGGCTAAGGGATTTAGAGTGTGAGAAGGGCTCTGATTTGAGCCTGGGGCAGGAGTTGGGGTGCAGGAGGGGGTGAATCTCTGTAAGGGAGTTTGGGTGTAGGGGGGCTCTTGGCAGGGGCTTGGGGTGCAGGAGAGGGTACATGACTGGGACAGGGATTCAGGAAGCAGGCTCCAGCTGGACACTACTTACCACAGGTGGCTCCTGTGTGGTGGTGCAGTGAAGCTAAAGCAGGCTCACTCTTGCCCTTGCCCTGCACTACTCTCAAAGCAGCCAGAAAACTCCATCCCTGTTATACCCGCCACCCCCTTTCGGTGGAGATGGAATACAGGGTGGAAGAGGAGAACAAAGGGCAGGAGTTATGCAGCAATGGGGGAGGCAGGAAGCTGAAGTGCTGTGCTTGATACCTTCTTAGCCAAACGAGTCAAGAGCACCTGTCAAAGGCTCCAAGATCTAGCAGTAGATCCTGATCTGCTGGTTGGTGACCACTGCTTTAGGTGATTCCAGAGTCTATAGGTGGCACTTGGGAAGTCCCTCTTTCAGCTTGATCTTAGATTTCTTTAGGAGTTTGTAGTATACTGGCTACGTCTAGACTGGCATGATTTTTCCGGAAATGCTTTTAACGGAAAAGTTTTACGTTAAAAGAATTTTCAGAACAGAACGTCTAGATTGGCCCGGACGCTTTTCCGGAAAAGCACTTTTTGCAGAAAAGCGTCCGTGGCCAATCTAGACGCGCTTTTCTGCAAAAAAGCCCCGATCGCCATTTTCGCGATCGGGGCTTTTTTGCGGAAAACAAATCAGAGCTGTCCACACTGGCCCTTTTGCGCAAAAGTTTTGGGCAAAAGGACTTTTGCCCAAACGGGAACAGCATAGTATTTCCTCAAGAACACTGACAATCTTACATGAGATCGTCAGTGCTTTTGCGGAAATTCAAGCGGCCAGCGTAGACAGCTGGCACATTTTTCCAGAAAAGCGCTGATTTTCCGGAAAAACTGGCCAGTCTGGACACAGCCTATAGGGTGTGAATGACGGCCTACTTGCTGTGTAGATGAACATGAAGCAGAACTTGACACAAATGAAGGAAGCCATTTGAGAGGTCAGGCTGGGAAAGAAACTGAATTGTCTCCAAGAGGTGTTCCTTGTTTTCCACCTCTTTGCGCGCAGATGTATGATTAGCTATAGTGATCACTGGCAGGTCTTGTTGAGACTTCAGGAGTAGGGAGGTGGCATTACTTCTGTTTATGGCATTAGTGAGACCATTACCTTGACTAGTTCTGGTGTTAACATTTTGAAAAGATGTTGACAAACTGAAGACAGAAACAGAGCTTCAAGACTGAAGGTCTGAAAATCCAATCTTACCGAGAGATTGCATTTCTTCTATCTATTTAATTTAGCCAAGGTATGCCTAAATTTACCTAGAAACTCGTGGCCTTAAAACCACAGAGCTTCTGTGGTATCATTCCCTCTGAATGGGGCAGCAGGACTGGATTAAGGCCCACACTCTCAGCAGCTAGAGTCTCATGATGAGGGCAGAACCTCGACCTTCTTTTTTTTAAACGCTTCTAGAACACTTGGTCACAAAGAGAAGCTTCAAAATGGAACCAGAGAGTAATCAAAGTAATCAGAGTCTGCAGCCAGTTTAAAGTAACAGCTACAAGAAGAATAGCTGTACCATCCCTGCCCTCTCAGCTGGGGTGCCCCTTACATTGCCTAGCTGCTGTAGCCACCAGCAGGACTACTCACAAACAGCCTCCAACATGTAAGTCACACTCTTTTGTGTCTGTGTGTGAGTTCTAGCTAGCCAACTAGATCTGGCTCTTACCAGCCTTGTTTATATTGCAGAGTCACCCCAAGTACATCCTCAAGTCCTAATTTCCTCCCCAAAATGCATGTCCTGTGCTGCCAAGCTATCTCCAGGACAATACTCATTCATATAGTCTGTATTTCTTTAATAGAAAGTAATATGCACATATTGTAAACCCCCGCCCCCATGGAATTTACCAGACACTTCAATTTAAAACACACTGGATTAGATTAAACAGTGCAACAAGTTTATTAACTACAAAGAGAGATTTTAAGTGAGTACAAGTAATGAGGCATACAAGTAAAAATGGTTACAAGAAAAACAGAGGTAAAATGCAACTGGTGCCTTGCTTGACAAATTATGTTAAATACAAAACAAAGTTTTTCTCACCATGATTTAGCAAACTTACTGAGCAAAATTCTTAGGTCAGGACCCCGTTCTCTCCAGAATCTAGAAAATACTTCATTTGTCATGTAGCTTTAGGTGCTATGAATGCAATGGGCAGGGAGGGAGAAGAGAGGTATTTATTTCTCCTTTTTTATGGTTTGAGTCCCCAGCTGGGATCCCGGAGACAGTGTCTATATGTAAAGAGATTCCCTGCTGGTTTCCCACCTGTTTGAACTCCCTTTGTCTCCCTTCCTGCTCCATGATTCTGTTTAAATGCAAATTAAGCAGAGCACACACGTTTTTGTTTGAGGCAGATCTGTTTTGCAAATCTTTGTGACACTGCCCTTCTGCTATTAAAGGAAATGAGGGCCCTGCTGCCACTTGGAGAGAAAGGAAGGGACTGTGGGTCAAGCTAATACCGCTGCAGTGTGGATTCAGCACCTCCTTTTGCAGTCTCTGCCCGAAAGCCCCCACAGAGCCCCAGCTGTAAATGTACGCTGCTCCCCATGGCAGAACTCCAGAGGAAAAAGGGATGGGGCAATGGACTCTGTAAATCTCCCTTTGGGCTAGGCGGCTCCCAGAGACACAATGTGGGGGAAATTACATTCTCTTATACCTACAGAGAGGAACTGGGCCCCTTGCATTCTACAATAAACTATACAAAAATCTGAATTTGATCAGATTTGTTTCCAAATTGAGCCTATATTGGGTAAGTTCTTTGGTTTGGCAGGAACCATCATCTGTTCTATAGCTTGTAAAAATGAGTCCTGTGGCACCATAGAAACTAACAAATATAATGATTCTATATATTTTCATTAGTCTCTAAGGAGCACTTGTTTTTAAAGTTACAGAATAACATGGCTAGCTCTCATAGTCCATAGCATGTAGTATACCAAGCTGGTGATCCTGACTGTGGCTTCTGTAATATTAATACAATTCACACCATCCTTAGTATTTATTTATTCTCCATATTGAATACAGATTGTGTTCCACAGCATAAGCTTAGCTGCACTTTAAAAAAAAGTAATAAAAGTATTTATTTGTACCATTAGTAAATCCCAGTCTAAAACTGCTAACCTGATCTTGTAAAACCAATTAAATATGACAGACACTGGTTGACTCTGACTTTTTTTTTAACTGTTCTAATATAGTGGTAACTTGTCTTTCCCATTTCTGATGAGAAATATTCCCATCTGCTGCATGGCAATAATGCAATGTTTCAGCACACTGCGCCAAGGTGAAGGGAGAAACTGATTATTAGTCTGTTTGCTGAAGACTGCAGAAAAATGACAATTCTCATAACACTCTGAGGGTATGCTTCCCTCTACATAAAAGATCAGATAACTCTAAAAATAATCTCCCTACCAGTGCACTGTTCTGACATTTCTTTCTATTTTCTGGAGTTCTTTTTTTAAAGAATTGAAACTGTTGTTTTAAGGTACAAGGACAATATCATTTGCTATACAACGTGTCATTTGTTCACTCTCACTCTTTGGACCACATTAAGTCCTTAGAAGTGGATAGGACTCCTATTTATTTCTACTAGAGTCATACATGCTTACTGCAGTGCTGCATTTCGCCCCTCCCGTCCTTTCTAATTACAAGGCTGCTTGCTTGACTGACTGACTGGGAATGGACAAAACTGTTGGTCTCCCATTGTATGGAAAATGTGTTCCTTGATTTGGTTTTGGGTTACCTGGGTTAATTGTCCTTGAATCTACCCCCCAAATGTAAACACTCAAATTGGGAAATCCATCTCTAGGGACATTAAAATCTGAATGTGGTGTTTAGGTACCATGTTGATCAATATGATATTCGAATCTGACTAGAATTCACCTTTCTTCGCCTCTCCCCTCAGGTCTTCACTTCCTGCTGGCTAGTCTGAGTAAGAGTTTTGCTGAATTGTCAACCTGGCTCGTTTTGGGTTCCTAGGCTGCTGAATGGTTTGCACTTTTCCAGCTATGGCTGCTTGCTAAACATGGACCCTGCTTCATTTACCTACTCGACCTCATTCAAGATGTCAGCTCTTACTGCATCTGACCTCCCTCGGTAAGTCATTGTAGATCTTGGCCTTTCCCAGCACAGCATCAACCATCTTACTGCCTCAGGCCCTACCACAGCATCTTCCTAATCCTGGGCTCTTGTTGGTGGTGGTTTGTATTATATTCGCCTTAAACCAAAGCTGCAGTGATCTAAGCACTGTGCAAAATCTTCCATACTAAGGAAGTCCCTGCCCCCAAACAACTTACTTTAAATAGTGGCACAGCGAGATGAAGTGACACTCAAGGTCACAGACTGAGTCAAGACTCCTAGTCCAATGTTCCATTCTCTAGCCACTGTACATCCCATCTACCTCTAGCTGAATACAACAAGGTGATCTTACGGTCAAGTGCTTTAAGACACAATACTGCCAGTGAGAAGGTGACTATTTCAAGTGATTTGTGGAGAAAAGGCTTACTGATTTTTCAGTTATTTTCCAGTAATTCTAGAATTACAGATCTATGGGAATCAGGTCTCCCTCATTTACAGGAACTCTTGGAAAATATGACATATGGAGATATACCTATTTCATAAAACTGGAGGGGACCTTGAGAGGTCATTCAGTCCAGTCCCCTGCCTTCACAGCAGAGCCAAGTACCATCCCTGACAGATTTGCCCCAGCTCCCTAAATGGCCCTCCTCAAGGATTGAGCTCAGAACTCTGGGTTTAAGTAGGCCAATGCTCAAACCACTGAGCTAACCCTCCCCTCTTAGACTACAGTGTGATCCACTAAATAGATGAAAAGGTCTCTTTCTGATGCCTCTTCCTCACTGAGGATCAAAAGTTAATTCATGATAGTTCCCTTTCCCAATCTTAGTATCTTCCAATTTTTTTAAATACAGGAGATTGTAAGTAATAAAATGATAGTTTTGTATTAGGTCAAACACATTCAGATAGACTGACTCAAATAAAATTAAGTCTGAGCCAATAAAATACAAATATTTAAATGATAGAACAAGAGCATGTATGCTATCTAACAATATTATGTATTGTAGTTAATGCACTAACTATAATTTAATGAAGCCAACTGATGTCTTTCATTAATATGGAAAAACTCCAGTATCATGATGAACAACTTGAAATTATGTCTATTGAGGTGACCTCTTCCCAGAATTCTTGTTTATCGGACTGTCGATAATGTGTAAGGAGAAGGAAGAATACTTAGTCACAGTTTTTCCTTTGTGTAACTCTTCAAGTCAAGGTAATATTAGCTGTTTTTATATTTGAAGCATCTTAAATGCATGCAATTATATCCTATGTATGATGCTGACTCAGATTTTTATGGAAATGTCATTTTGAATATGAATATTCATAACTTGAATATATTTTATGCCAAATAGGGCAAGTAACCTATAATTCAAAAGACTATAATTTGCTAAATGCATATATTCTATTTATGTACATGTATTTTTCTTATATGAAGTTTGAAATATAAAGTGTAAACTTGTTTATTAATCTAGATCATCTAGTGAAATCCTTTAGTGGTACCTATGGAACTTAATAGCCCAATGCTCAAGACAAGGCTTTGTGAATAGCCTTTTTTTTCTGTAAGCCTAAACTGTGGTTGGTCCTATCAAGACATGTGACCATGCCATCTGGTGCTGGAATCCATCTTGAATTTGGTATTTTTCCAGCAGGGAAGGAGGAATGGGACAAATACTTCATGCCCTGGGAAAACTCTATTTAAGAAATGGGAAGCAAACTATGATTGGCTTCACAGACTGCTCCCCAACTCAGTAGAAGCTGGAAAGAAAAGAACTCTGATGAGGGGAGAAGCTATTCAATCCAGTTCAGAAAAAAATCAACTCTGGCCTAAATAACTTTCTCTGAAATAAGAACTGTTGTGAGAAATTATGATTCAACTATTTATCTTAGAAACCTAGGCCTAGCTGGCATGTTGTATTTTAGTTTAGTAGCTTACTTTGATCTGTGTAGTCATTTGCAACCACTTAAATCCCACTTATAAATAATAAACAAGTGATTTTATTATCAAACTTAATGTAATTAATTATTACCTAGAAGAAGTCTCCTTTTTTGATAAAGGGAATGAATTCAATGAGCTTTCTCTATGTAAAACTGTTATGCAGAGTAAAATGGATTTATTTGGGGGTTTGGTCCCATTGGGGTTGTGCTCCTAGACCTGAGCAGTTATCAAAATCTATATTGCTATGCTCGGGAGCTGTGACCCCCAACTCTGTGTGCCTATTTGATGGAGGAGACCATAGCTTCTGGCTCAGCAGAACAGGGTCCTGGGGCACCCCAGAGGGCAGGTAGGCAGGCTCAGTGGTATGATCAGCCCATCAGGTGACAGTCATAAGGGGTTCTCTGTGATCCAACTCATCATACTACATTTCTGAAACATTCTCCTTTGATTGTGATTTAATCCAAATTGTTATTTTCCATTATTCAGATTTCCTCTGTTTAATATCTGATTTGATTTTTAAAATAGTAAATATATAAATATAACAAAAGCAAATAAGGAATGTTACTAGATTTGTTGTTTTGAAAATATATAAAACTATGAATTTTTTACATGATTTCATTACAAGATTTTTTTACATTAATTGTTTACATGATTTCATTCATTCTAGGTTTGCTGAAAGTTGGGTTATGAATTTGTTTCTAATATTTCATTTAGCTTTTTATACTGCAAAAACTTTTACAAGTATCCAAACATCATACTGAAGACTAAATAATCAATAAGAAACTAAATTTAGGAGATTCAAATTTCCCAACATTTCTTAGGTGACATAAGAGACCTTACTCAAATCATTGACCAGGATTTAATTCAAATACAGAAAAAAAGCAAAACATTATAAGCAAACATTGCCCAGAGATAAATATTGCTGTTACATATAGTCCTCTAAACAAATCCTGGCAGATGAATTTAATTATAGGAAGGAAACAATGAAAGAGCAAAAGATATTAAACATTTGGCAAATTAGAATTTTGTTGGAATCCTTTCTATTAGGATAAAAGAGTTCCTGTTCCTGTGATCGTATTATTTGAAAAGCAAGGCTTTTTGTGCGTACACTCAGGAATGCTATATATTCTCCCTTATACATCCCTTTCTTCAGCACAATATAAGACTAAGAGCTGAGTTCCAAGATAGAAAACTTGCCTTCTATCACATCCAGTTTTCCTCCTAAATGCATACCAGCATTTGTCTGGGAAAGTCAGGAAACTTATGTCTATTCTGACTCCCAGAATAAATGTCTCCTCCTTTTCATTTTGAAAAGGATTCTATCTCCTTAAGATAAAAATACTCACAGTATAACAGTCCTGCAAAAGACTTGTAGTATTTGAACTTCAGAAGCATACATAGGTTTACCAGTACTTAATACTGATAGATTCCCATAGACTTCACTGGGTTTCAGATCAGTCCCATGCTTTTCCTTTTCATCAAAACTAAATGAAGCAAGGGGCATGAAACTACTCAAAATTATAGTAAAACATGTCCATTATGTGTTGTCCTTGGTCCACAGTAGTAGGAAAAGGAGAGTACTAATTAGGCCAGGTTTACGCTATACCTGAAAGGTCAGCTTAAGGTACACAATTCCAATTAGGTATATAACGTAGCTTGAGTCAACATATCTTAAGCTGAGCTTGGTGCCATCTTCACAGCGGGAGGTCAACGGGAGCAAATGCTCCCATTGGCTTCCCTTACTCCTTGAGAATCGAGGATTACCAGCAACAACAGGGGCACCTTCAACATTCAATTTCCTGGGCCCTTAATAAACCCACTAAATCGAACACCAGAAGATTGATCTCCAGTATGGCAAGTGGAGACTTGGCCTCAGATTTCTAATTTTTAAAAAAATGTCTGGTCTAGTGGGAGTATGAAGGAGAAAATAAAGACACCAGGGTCAGTACAGTCACACTTGAAAGAAAAAATGCCTGAATCTGCAAGAACATTAAAACTAGGGGATATTAAAGTGTAAAAGCAAATGAGGGTGATCTGGAGTCCAAAAGATAGAATGTATAACAAGCACCAAGAAATCTCCTTGTTTGTGCCAAATTTCCATGCAGCATGAATAATAGAATTAACTTTAATTGCTTGCAGAATGTTGCTAAAACCAAAGGGCTGTATGCTAGCAGGAACAGAGCAGCCCTAACCCTTGTTATCTGATATCAAAATGCTTGGCTCATCCACTTACTGCACATATAGCAGCCAGGCTACATCTTTTTCAGCCAGGTTTATTATACCTTTTGCTTTGCTACTCACTTTTTCACACAATGTATATCTTTGTTAGAAGCTACACTCCGTACATTTGCTCCACCCATTTCAGATCTGATCCTGCAAGGTGCTCAGCACTCTGGGGGCAATCCAGCAAAGCACTTAACCACATACTTAACCTTAAGCGTGTGAGTAGTCCCACAGATTTCAATTTGTGACTAAGTGTCTTGCTAGACTGGGACCTGAGTGTTCAGCACCTTGCAGAATAGAGTTCTGTGTGCCTGAGTCTGTCCCTTACATGGAGTAATCCTTTCCACCATAAAGGGCCCCATACATTTCAGTTGGGTAATGTGTGCTGTATTCAGCATGAGTAAAGATAGTGTAATGGGGTACTTCATAACCACGCCTCTGCCACGTATCTTAGCTATGCAAACAAGAGGGAAAATAATTCCATTTAATGAAAGACTTCTTGTGTTGAATCACTCCCACCTTTACAGTTGTACTGAAAAGAACTTCAGTGTAATAGACACTGGATTCTGAATGGATGTGCACAATATTTTTAATACTGAGAAATGTTTTGTATAACCCACTGACAGGGCTTCTTCTCTCCTAGATGAGTACCAAATGTATATCTGCAGTAGAGTACAACTCCTTAGTGCCTCAAGAGAATAAATCCCTTAGTATTCCTGGTTGCTTACTATGCCTGAATTGCAATGGGTAAAATAAATACATTTATATTGCAATCTAACCCAAAGAAACCATTGTTGACAATGGTTAATTTCACATTTTAAAAAAAACCCACAACCACCTAAATATTAAGAAATTTGGCTACAGAGAGATAGATCAGAAGTGACAGATTCTCATTGGGTGGGATTTTTGAAAAAGTTCCTGAGTGAGGAGCAAATGTCCCATTTGAAGTCTATGACACTCGTGTTCCTAAATCACTTAAGTATTTAGAATCCTATCCGTTTCCTTACTGAAGCCTAATGCTTTGCCTATTTTGGTAATGATGCTTTGTAGTAGAGTCCTTGGTGGGTTTGGTGGCCTAGAAGTTAGTGCACCTGCTGCCACTTCCCACAGACTTAGTCCACCTTTTAATCAAAGGTGCATTGAGGAAGACAGGAAGTCTGGGTTCCCACCCCCACATTAGGGGCAGTGGTAAGGGAACCCAAACACACCCACTCCCTTGGGGCCTAGGAGGGTGAACAATGTCTGCCTCCCAAAGATTTCCTCTGGGTTACCCTTCCTGGGTCCTATGCTGCTCTCCTCCTTCAGCTTCAAGTCTGAAATAAGGTGAAAGAAGGAAACCAAACCATCAGCACCAACCTAGCTCAGTACATAGTCATCTTTCCTTACTGAGGCTTCTCTAGCACCTTCTTCAGGGGCATCCAGGAAGCTCTGTCCTGCTCCCTTTCCCCGGTTGAAACTTGCTCTGAAGGCTAGAAGGGCAGGAAAACCTGGGCAGAGTACTGTCTTTTAATCCCTTTCAGACCAATGTGGGTGGAGTTTGCACACTCCATCACAAGCTGTCTCTCAGATGAAGTCACTGTGACTGCCATGACGTAAGTTTGATTTCATCAGCCATACACTAGGTAAGATTTTGTCCCTATACCATTTTCCTTATCTGAGCACAGTAACCTCTAGCTGTTGCAGATTGTTTTCAGTTAAGAGATATATCTGTCAAAAGCTGCGTGACTTCTGGGTAAATGATAAACTTAGCATAAACTGTATGTAAATCAGTTTTCAAATAGGAGAGGCTTTCGAGGATCTTGTATTTGGGCATGTAAATCTTCCCCTTGGTGCACAAAATGCACATTTTTCCCATTAAATGCTGATTTTGAGCAAATCCAAATAGGAGATTTAGATCTTTTTTGAAACAACCAACAATCTGAAATTGGGCCCACAAACACTGAAATGAAGTAACTTTACAAAAAAATAGAATGAGCAAGAATAAAAATGATTCAACGAGCACACTGTAAATTCTTGATGAAAAATTAAAAAGAGAGAGAGAGAAAGAGAGAGAGAGGAATAAACACAAAGAAGTTCCCAAGAGGTGATTGGAGCAATGTTGAAAAACTATAAGAAATCATATGCCATGAAAGAATAAATGGGAAAAGAGGCCAGGGAATGGTAAGTAGGTAGAGAATGAGTGAATGGAGCTGAAACCAACATACAGTAGTTTATACAGGCAGTCCCCGGGTTACATGGATCCGACTTACATCGGATCCCTACTTACAAACGGGGTGAGGCAACCCCGCACTAGCTGCTTCCGCCCAGCAGACCAGGGAGACGTGGGGCGGCTTTTCTCAGCAGACACCTCCGCTTGAGAATAAAGGCCTGAGGGAAGTGAGGTGTGGGAGAATAAAACTGAGCTCTGGAGAAATGTTTGGCTAGAGTTTCCCCTACAATATGTACCAGTTCCGACTTACATACAAATTCAACTTAAGAACAAACCTACAGTCCCTATCTTGTACGTAACCCGGGGACTGCCTGTACTTTGTTATTCCTTTGTACTAAGAAAAGAAAGCTGTCGATTTTTATTGGTTTATGAATAATGTGCAACAGCTATATCATATTCCCTGAAGGCATTATTTCTTCAGAGATAAGCATGGCTCTAGCATGAGCCTGAATCCTGGAAAATAAGGTTCAGATTTGCTCCCTATAGCTGCAGGAAGTGGTGGGATAACTCAGTTGCCTACAGTGGCTGGAGCTCTGGGAAGCCCAAGCCCAGCTGCTATGGGCTGAAGTCACAGAGGTCTCTGGAAGTCGCAGATTCAATGACAAAATCATAGCATTGCCAGTTATCACACTAGG